GAAAGAAAGAAAGAAAGAAAGAAAGAAAGAAAGAAAGAAAGAAAGAAAAAACAACTTTATAGTCAAGAAACTTGCCATAAACATGTGATTACACACATTTTGTCATAACTGGCAGATTTTCTTTTGAACTTGGCTCAAATAAAGTGAAACAGGAAGTGACATCAAAGGGGAACTCTTCAAGAAAATGAACTCTGTCTTTTATTTATTGAAACAATAAAGACTCTGATTCTTCTCTGATAGAGACTCAAAATAACGTAAAGAAACATCAGATTCTTCTCTGGTCTGTGGTAGTCTTCATGGCAACGCTCTGTTTACATTCAGACATTCCCCTTTGACATCACTTCCTGTTTCTTCACATGCAAATATCTCAACATCTGTTCATCTTAGCGACATAAAAATATTTTTGCAACATGTTTTTAATGTTATCTTTCCAAAAATGAATTCATATTTGTTACAGAAATTGCTTCCAAAGGCACTTTAACCCATTTAAGGAACTTTGTTTGAACAGATTTGTTATGTAATGGGACTAAACCAATATATTTGTAAAAAGGCAGAATTTAAAACAGTGAAAAGTTAGAAACTGCAAGGCATGTAAATTATATGTTATGCATGTTTTTTGAGCATAAAAGCAGATGTATTGTGGGTTTTTTTGACTTGATTTCTGTCAGCAGTGATAATGATAATGACCTCCAGCCTCYTTCGACCCCCTCACTCTCAGAATGAAACGTTTGGGAGTCCACCTGTACCTGTTGGAGCCACTTTATAGAGGTAGTCTGTCCAATTCAGGATGATGCGTGGTTTGCCTGTCCAGCACTGCATGGCCTTYCGTGTCAGAGCTGACAGGCAGAAATTGATGGCGAGATGAACCAGTGTCATGAACAGAGGGTAATGGAAGCCCTGAGTGAGATGAACAAGCAGACAGGCTGTTGTTGGGCAATTTTTAATCAAACCGATGGGCCAAAGAGACCAGGAGATGGCTTTAAAAAGTCCAGGATTAGGACAGGCACCAATCARGAAACAAATAAATCTATTATTGTTGGATTATCTTTAATTTTGTCCAAAATAATTTWAAAAATCTATCTAACTAAGACGACATCCTTCATCTCTTCCACTTACCTTCATAAGCCATTTGTTATAGAATGTGATGCCTATGGAGAAGACATAGTAGAGGAGAATTAGTGCAACAGTGCATAGCCCTCGCAAGAGGCACTGGACCGGGCAAGCCATCCAGTACCGCCAGAACCACCTCCAGCTCCAGAACAGACAGCTACTGTAGAGAAACCATCTCTGAACCGACTCTGGACTCCCTCATACGTCCATATCCATTCGCTGTGGGAATCTGTTTAAAAAGATTCTTATTCATGAAAAGTGACAGGGTGAACATGGAACACATTGATCATGTTATTGTTCATCTTTGAAGCAGATATTTAAGTTTATTTCAGATAATCAGAATGCCAWTCATCCATTTCACAATTAAAACACTGACTCAAAGCTGCTACCAAATCTGTGACTGTAGYTGAAAATATAAAATGTAGATTGGCAAGTGTATTTTTAAGTGAGATATATGTCACAACCGCCTGCCATAACTTAGCAAACAGCTGAGCTGTTTTCACGTCACCAGAGTCCAACCGCTGATAGCAAACATATTTACTGAAATATGAATGTGTGCTCGTTTTCCTATAACATGTACCGTGTTTCACTTGGTAGGCCGTTGGTGACCCATTAGGGTGTATTTAAAAAAAAAACAGACTTTACTAAGCGAAACACTACGCGCGCTAGTTTTGTTTGTTGTCGATGAAAACGTCAGCTTTACTTTAGCTAACAGATAGTAACCCTTTCAGGCATTTTTTTTATATTTAATTTAAAATAACACTTGTAATTCAATAAAAAAAACATGTAATCGCTTCACAATAACACTACCAACAAATACGTTTTACTCTTTAATGGATTCTTACCGCTTTCTGTCTTTCATTGCTGTTTAGTAAACTTGTTTTCTTTCGCTTTAAGTCGGTTAGCTAACCGGGCTAAATGCTAATCAGCGCCCCCTGCTGGACAGAGGTGAGACATGCTGTCTGYTTTTGACTGAAAAATGCACACCATTTTTTTTCTGGAGAAGATAATTTTTCTTTGAAATAATGCATAATATTTATGCAGCTGCAGATTTCTTAGAAAATAATTTAAAATAGATCTTTGTACCTTTTTGTGATGAAAGTGAGGAAACGCTGGAACATGTGTTTCCCATGTGGTCCAATGCTTCTGCTCTGGCATAAATGACTATATCACTAAAAATACAAACTTTTCTGCACTTTCTTATTTCACATACAGTTTTTTTCCTTCTTACATGGAGAGCTTGCATTCTTATTCAGACATGGTTAACATAGTTGTTATTCTGAGTAAATATCATATTATTGTAATAAAGAAACCCTTCATCTACTTGTTCATCAAGTCTCCCTAATCCTTCTAATTCTCACCCTTCATTTGTTTAATCTGTTGTCACTTCTGTGTTTAAATTGTGTATCCTTATGTGTTTTGTAAATTGAAAGCTTTTTGTTTGTGATAAAACAAATAAATCTCTTAACAGCATTATATTACCAGTTAGTAAAGTGTCAAAGAGCATGAAAAAAGGGGGAATTACATACACATAAAATCTGAACTACACTAAATAGACACAACAAAACATTAACAACAAGTTTTCGATGTAACGCAGTTAAAAAGTTAGAAATAAAACTTACATTTTTTATTTATTTCGAACAGACATTAAAACAATCAAAAAGAAAAGAAAATAAAATAGAATGAAACAAAC